ACCAGCAGCATCCACCACTCCCTTCCCCCTCCTCCCTCCTTGCACCCAAACACACATCCAGCTCACCCAACTCTCTTTCCTCCTCACATGACCTGCCCTGTCCCTGCATCCAGCATCAAAACACAATCGAATCGTCCTCTTCTTTCTTGCCCGCCCCACTCTGTGTACTCCCACCCCACCACCACGCGCACCACCAGCACCACCACCTGTCCCCCCTCCTCCCTCCTTGCGCCCAAACACCCTTTCCTCCAGCTCAGTCAACCCTCGCTCCTCCTCACATGCTCTAGACTCAAAACACAATCAAATCGTCCTCTTCTTTCTTGCCCGCCCCACTCTGCGTGCTCCCCCCTGCAGCTCCAGCACCACCAGCACCCCCTGTCCCTGCTCCCTCCTTCCTTCCAAACACCATTTCATCAAGCTCAGCCAATTCCCTCTCCTCCTCACTCATCCCTGCTCTCCGGTTCCCCCCGCCCCGGTTCCGCACCAGCCCTCCGGCCCCACCCTCCTCCTCCTCATCCATCGTCAAGAAGGCAGCAGCTGGGGGAGGCACAACTGGCGGCACCACCGTCGCAGCCGCACCTGCTGGTTGCTCTGCTGCCGCTGCGGCCGCTGCATCTCCTGCCCCAGCCCCTGCTCCTGCTCCCGCTCCAGCAGCAGCAGCGGAGGCCTGTTTGCGCAGTTCAGCTAGCTTTTCCAAAACCTTGTCAATGTCGTCGTTTAGGCTGAGAGCCTCAAAGAGGAGCGTCTCGCTGGGTGCCTCTGAGTTGCTGTTCTCGTGCTCGATCAGCCGCAGCAGACTGCTCTTGGCCGCCCGGCATTGTGCTGCCAGCGCTGGCACCACCTCATCCTGTTGTAAAAGGGTGTGCAACAAACAAAGTTCAGGTTGGGTTACGGAAAAGGATTTTAGCGTAAGAAATATGAGGTTCAGGTTGGGTATGGGACAGAGGTTCAGGGTCAAGAATTTAGGATATGCTTTGGAAATGGGCAGATGTGAAAGGGAGGAAATGGAAAAGAAGGCGAAGGAGAGGAAGGAAAGGAAACAGGGAGACGAGTGAAGGATGGCAAGTGACATTTGGGTAGTGATACCACTGGTGACATGTCAGCACCAGAACTGGGGTGGCACTATTGTGGGTGAGGTGGTAAAAGCCAACCTCTGCTATATCATATCTACGCCCTGTTAAAATTGGTCGTGCACCCAACCATGCCACCATGCACCCAACCATGCCACCATGCACCAACCATGCCACCACGCACCCAATCATGCCATCATGCATCCAACCATGTTAGACGTTCGTTCCACATGTGCTCCCCTTTCATGCCACTACTGTGATTGAGGTGGTTTCAGCACTCACCATGGCTGCACGGACAACAACACATTCTCCAGCAGCTCAACACCATATCTATATAATGATCCCAAGAATCTCATCAGTTTCTGCCTTCCCTCTTTCTTTCTACCCCTCAACAATACCTCTTTCCTTTCTATCTTTCTGTCCCTCCTTCCCTCTTTCCCTCTTTCCAACTTTCTGTCCCTCCCTCCCTCTTTCCCTCCCTACTTCCCTCCTTCCCTCACTCACAATCAGCACATGTTCAGGCAGAGCAGACGACAGCACGGTACCCAGCAGCTCAACGCTGTTCCTCGAGATTTCAAAGATCTCCTTTCTCTCAAGCACCACCATGTGCCCGACCTCCCTTTCCCTTCATTTTCTTCCCTACCTTTTCTTCCCTACCTCTCTTTCCATCCCTTACCATGAGAACTTGTTCAGGAGGAGCAGAGGAAAGAACAGTCCCCAGCAGTTCAACGCTGTTTCTTGAGATCTCGAACATCTCCTTGCTGTCAAACCCTCCCTTTCCCTTCTTCGTCATCCCTTTCCTTCCCTTCTCCCCCACCCCCTTCTATTTCCCGTCCCCTCTTTCCATTTCCCCATTTCCCTTCAACTTTCCCTTTCACTTTCCCCGTTTCCATTTCCATCTTTCCCTTTCCCTCCTTCCCTCACTCACAGTAAGCACTTGTTCAGGAGGAGCGGACGACAGCACGGTCCCCAGCAGCTCAACGCTGTTTCTTGAGATCTCAAAGATCTCCTTGCTGTCAAACACCACCATGTGACCGCCCTCGGGCCGCGGGACCATCGACACGCCAGGTGGCGCCACCTCATTGGCCATCTGCCCCTCCACCGACTCCAGGAGCGCGTGGGCGGCTTGCACGGCGGCGGGCGGCACACTGGCGGGCGGCGTGAAGATGGGCGCGAGGGACTCGGCGTCGCGGGGGGGGAAGACAACTCCGCGCATCTTAAGGCTCTGAGAAATATAGAAGGTGAAGCGGGAGCGAGGGAGTGAGAGAAAGTAAAGGGGTTGAATGAGGGCGGCACTCTGGCGGGCGGCGTGAAAATGGGCGCGAGGGACTCGGCGTCGCGAGGAGGAACACCACTCCGCGCATCTTGAGGCTCTGAGAGGCACACAAGGGGAAGCGGGGGCGAGAGAGAGGAATAAAAACAAGCATCTTCGCGCCTTGCACCACACACAAACAAATAAAAACACTCCTCCGCAAGATGTGCCTTTCCTTCCATAATCTCCACTTAATGCATGCCACGCTACCTCGCTACCTCGCAACCGCAGCTGCGCATCATTTAAAGTGCCTCAAGTCACCAAAAGTTAACAAAAGACGCCTCAAGTGTCGCCTCAGTTGCGCCGCGCTGAGGGCTAGCCCGACACGCGAGCCATAGATTTTGTCGGCCAAACCCCCTACGGCGCGCACGCCATGACGCTTGGATCGACTCAAACGTACGCCAAGATCCCGTCGTTTGCACGTGTTTTGTTTCGAGGAGTGTCTCAACGAGAAGCTCCTTCGCGGATTAGGAGTTTCAAATCGCCACATGATATTTGCTGACGATGACGCACCCACTAGGCGCGCATCGCATCTTGCCAAACGCCAGTTTGAGCAGAAGGTGATGCGAGATAAAGCGAGGTGAAGCGCGCTCTATTCACATCCACATCCGTAAATCACCTTGTACGTTTCTTCAAACACGGGAAGGTACCGCAGCTCCTCCGTGGCTTCAACCCACGCCTCGATCATCTTCAGCACCTTCTCCCGCGGCTGCGCCGCACTGCTCGGTACTAAAGCCTGCTCCTCCTCCCCAATCTTCTTACCTTGTAGGTTTCTTCGAAGACAGGAAGATACCGTAACTCCTCCGTGGCCTCGCCCCACGCCTCGATCATCTTGAGCACCTTCTCGCGCAGCTGCGCCGCGCTGTGCGGCTCGTCCGCGACGCGCACCATGTCGTCCAGCACGCGCTCGTTCGCCACGTCGGAGAAGAGCGACGAGCAGTTCTTGACGGCCATCTCCAGCAGCGCCAGCGCCAGCATCTGCACGTGCGAGTTTCGTGACCCGAGCTGCTTCTTAATCGCGCGCACCGTCTCGCCTCCCGGGAGCTTTCCCGAGTTAACGAGGTCGCAGATTAGGAGATTTCGGCCCCAGTCGGGGGAGATTAGGATTTCGTCCGTCGCTTCTTCGACCAGACGCTCCGCGAGCGTTGGCGCGTGGAAGATGTTTTTCATCTTGTCGCGGATTTCCGTCATTGATTCCGTCAATTTCCCGCCGACGGCGTTCATCGACTCCCCCATTTTTTTCCCCATCGTGGCGAGACGGGCCTTCCAGTCTTCGCCCGTGTGGCTGCTGGTGCCGCCCAGCAGTCCCTCATCTTGCGGATCGTCCGAACCGCGAAGAGTCACGTAACCTGCCATACTTGAGACAGTGGTCTCGCTTTTTAACAATTGACAACTTGTACGACTGCTAGTAGCTACCACTGAATTACTCGAGGCACGCCGTTTCTATTTCTACTTTCTATGATCCGAATGAATCTAGTTGCCAAATTCGATTTCTTATCGAAAATGAAACCCAACCCAAACAAGTCTTCTAGATGTGAATTCTTCTCAGAAATAATATGTGAATCCTCCTGGCAGTTCTCTTTTGGAGGTTTGGGGGGAAGACTACCCCGAGGTGCCGGAGGTGAAGTGGAAATGTCCGTCAAGTGGACGGAAAGCGGGACCGATGGAAAATGGAGGAAACGTGGAAAGCGGAATCTCGAGGAAGTAGCCGATGACGGACAGAAGCGGAACGAAGGCCCTGTTCGATAGGCAGGCAAGCCATTCCGCGGAAAAAGTTGCGTGGTTTCGTGATTGGGTTTTTTTCCACGGTCAGCCCGTAATTTGGTGTCACGGGGCTTTAACGCTCTGGATCCTGAAGGATTAGTGTTAGCCTGTCGAACGCTACTTTAACCCTTCAAAATCATACCCCCCGAAAGCTCCAAGTCCCTTCTCACACGCACATAGGTTAGCCTAGCTCTAGCCCAGCCCTCGCACCCCCAAAATGGAGGTTGGCCAAGGGATAGGCTAGGGTTCCAAAAGGAAGGGGATACCCACCCCATACCCCACGTAAGTTTTCTCAGCAGGGCCCATGCTCCAACCTCACCCATCTCTGCCCTGAAAAAGTCCCCCTCCTCCCACAACCAAACCAACCACCAGGGTTTTGTTTCACCTCTGATTTACCCAGGTTCACGTGGGGTGCGATGTAAAATTTTGGACCCTGCCCACGATGACGATGGTGAAAGGAGGGGTTGCAACATCGCCGAGACGACCCCCTCCTTCCGATCTCGGGATGGGCTGCTTCCGATCTTGGGGGGGCGTGGTTAGCCCTTCAAAACTTTCTCCGAGCCCTCCTCCAAACGCTAGCCAAACTCCAAAACAAGATCCCGCACCACTCTCAATTGCAAAATAGTTACATGGTACGCCCATCATTGCTATTACCAGTTTTAACACAGGCCTCAAGTGAATCTATGACAAGCACATGTACACCATGTGCGAACACGGCATCACCAGTAATCACGTGCATTGCACGCCGCGCAATTCAACACCTACTTAGAAAAAAAACCTCGATATCCCTAGTCGTTGTCGCCATCAATTTTGTTCCCATCCAGCTTTCATCCAAACACCAAGTTCACTCCCTCTCACCTACCATAACCCCCCTGGTAACCCCCTCCAACATACGACCCAGTCTGATAGTCATACGTCGCTTGTCCTGCACTGACCTGCGCTCCCCCCACCCCACCTCCCACTCCCCCACCCCCACCCCCCTGCCCTTGGTCGCCCTGAACCGCATAATACACCGTGGTACCCGCCGCCCCCACCTCCCCTCCATACATCCCCCTCTGCACCAGCAGCTGCGGCCCAGCCCCCGCATCAGTCACATACGTCACCGTCCCCCCCAGACCACTCCCCAAGCTCCCCACTCCCCCGGCGGCATACAACCCTCCCCCTAGCCCTGCCCCCACGCCTGGTGAGGCAAGACCTGACCCCATGGTTCCAACCCCATATACCACCTCCTGCCCCAGGCTGCCTGGGCCCCCTCCAGCTGTCGCATAGATGGCACCTCCCCCAGCCATACCTGCCCCTCCAAGAGAATACGCTGCTTGCCCCTGCCCCTGCACCTGCACCTGCACTTGATCCTGCCTGCCTGCGTATCCGCCCCCTCCCCCTCCTCCCCCGCTGTACCTAGGAGGAGGCGGGTCGTATCTGCTGCTTCCTCCTCCCCCCCCCCCCCCCACCACCTCCTCCTCCTCCGCCTCCTGCGCCTGCTCGTCCCGGTGATGCTGCTCCGGGCCGAGACCGGCCATACGAGCGGGGAGACGAGGACACTCCACCACCCCTCGCACCACCACCACCACCACTGCCTCCTCCCCCACCACTACCACCAAGATACCCCCCACCACCCCCGCTGCTGAACCCACCATCGCCGCCGCCGCCGCCGCCCCTCGCACCACCACCCCTCGCGCCGCCCACAGCCCGAGCGGCTGCCGCCGCCCGCAGATTCGCCACAGTGACAGCGTTTGAGCCGGAGGCCGTGACACCACCACCGCCACCACCAAAGCCTCCCACAGGGCCGGTAGCAAGGCGCTGCCGCTTCGCCGCCATGGCCTGCTGCACGCGCGTCTCGTGCGCGGCGCGCTTGGCAACCTGCGCCTGCTGCTTGCGGAGCTGGCGGTTCTTCTCGAGCTGCTCGATGCGCTTGGTGAGGTGGTCCGTTGAAAAAAGAGTCTTGAGATTGCAGTCGTCGACGCAGCGGATTAGGGCTCGCACCATGCTGATTTCCCGTGATGTCGCCTCGTTCTGAAGGGGGAGAGGGAGGGGTAGGGGGAGGGGGAGCCGGGAGGGGGGAGAGAAAGGAGGGGCGACAGAAGGCAGGGGTGTGACAGGGAGTGAGTGAGTGCTCTGCAGCCTGCTGCTGCTTGCGCAGCTGGCGGTTCTTCTCGAGCTGCTCGATGCGCTTGGTGAGGTGGTCCGTGGAGAAGCGCGGCTTGAGACTGCAGTCGTCCACACAGCGGATGAGCGCCCGCACCATGCTGATCTCACGTGAGGTGGCCTCGTTCTGTGTGGGGGGAAGAGGGGTGAGAGAAAGAGGAACGACCAGAGGCGGTGGTGACACAGGGAGTAAAACGCAGCAGATTACCGCCCGCCCGCACATGCTGATTTCCCGTGAGGTGGCCTCGTTCGGTGGGGGAAAGAGGGAGTGGGGGGGTGGGGGAGTGGTGGTATGACGAGCATGCGAATTTTACGTCTTTAGCATGAAACGGCATCGCATCGCAACGCAAACGCCACCGACCTCAGCCTGCACCTGCACCCTGCTGCAGTGACGCGAATCCCACGATGCTACAGCAAGGCGAGCAGACCCACCCTACGCACCTCAGCCTGCAGCGACTTGTCCTTCTTGGTCATTGCAGAGACGGGTGTGCGGATCTCATGGCATGGCAGAGTATGAGAATGCATGGCATCGCACACTACAACAAGCAGTACATACACACGCCCACGCCCAACGTGTGATGAGTCGATATTTTAGTCGACTAAAAAATCGACTCATCACACGTCGCACGCTACAACAAGCATTACACATACACGCCCACGCCCAACCCTACCCACCTCAGTTTTGAGACGTCTCAAAACTACATACACACGCCCACGCCCAACCCTACGCACCTCGGTTTTGAGACGTCTCAAAACTACATACACACACCCACCCACCCACCCACGCACCTCAGTCTGCAGCGACTTATCCTTCTTGGTCATGGCGGACACAAGCGTGCGGATCTCCCTGAGGTTGCGCTTGAGCAGGTCAACGGGGTCAACAGAGTCAAGCAGGTCAACGCCATGCGCCAGGTAGATGGCGTCCACCTCCCGCCCCTCCTTCACCAGCCGCTCAACCACGACTGCATGTTGAACCGTCACAACAACACGAGAGAAATACAGCATGGCAGGAAGAAAAGGAGGCAGAGATGAGCGGGTGTGAGATGAGCGGGTGTGAGATGAGCGCCAAGTAGATGGCATCCACCTCCCGCCCCTCCTTCACCAGCCGCTCAACCACGGCCGCAGGGGGGAACGCAGGCAATAGCGCGACAGGAAGAAAAGAGGCACAGATGAGCGGGTCAACGGGGTCAAGGGGGGGTTCACGGGGTCAAAGGGGTCAAGCAGGTCAACGCCGTGCGCCAGGTAGATGGCGTCCACCTCCCACCCCTCCTTCACCAGCCGCTGCACCACCACTGCAGGGGGCACAACCATAGCCGCACAACACCATAACAGAGCAACAGCACAACAGCATGAGAGGAAGACAGTACGGCAGAGGAAGGTTCAGCATTGGAGGCGTCTGAGCGCCTTGCCTTAAGCACAGGCGGGCTGTAGGCAGCCAATCAGCTATCGGTGAACTTGCGTGTCTTAGTGGGAAGGAACATAGGGATGGGGGAGCACACCACTTCCACAGATGAGCGGATTCGTAGGGATGAATTTGGGAGTGAGATGAAAACACTGCAGGACGCAAGCTGCTCACTTCCTGGAAACACGAGGGGACGTGCACAGCACAGCACAGCACGGCACAGCTCGCAGCACAGCGAGAGGCTGCAAGCACACACATAGCACACACATAGCACACTGTCTGCATTGCATATGCACGGAGAACACCCCGCCAGTGCAGACACACACCATATGCTTGGCCTTTGACGCTCAGAGAAGCAAGCCACCAGCGCGGCGCAAGCAACCCATGCATGCTACGTAACGCAACAGCTTGTCACACCAACCGTCCCGCTGTGACAGCTGTCAGAGGCGTCCCTCGACCACCACACATCCAGCCAGTCGGATCATGCACTTCTGGCCCTTTCAACTCACAAGTCACGCTTCCAGCCAGCAAGCCAGCCAGCCAGCCAGTCAGCAAGCCAGCCAGCCAGTCAGCCAGCCAGTCAGCCAGCCAGCCAGCCAGTCAGCCAGCCAATCAGCCAGCCAGCCAGCCAGCCAGCCAGTCAGCCAGCCAGCCAGCCAGCTAGCCAGCCAGCCAGCCAGCCAGCCAGCCAGCCAGCCAGCTAGCCAGCCAGCCAGCCAGCCAGTCAGACATGCGCTTGAAGCCTTCTGTCAGCCAGAAGCCATGCTTACGGCCCAACGTGGAGCTGAGAGCAACGCAGCTGCGACTCAACTCACGATCGCAACGTGCGCACTGTGCCCTGCGCCACATGCGCATACTGTGGTGTGGTGAGCATTTATCCGCAACCCCATAGCCTTGACCGTTACCGCAGTGCCCATGCGGCCATAGCTACTCATCAATAGCCGCACGGCCGTGAATGCCTTGAGCGCACCTGTCAGTGATTCCTACCTCCATCCACCACCCTCATACGAATTTCCCAGCTGGCAATTTCTCCTCAAGCCCCATGACCTTCACCGTTACCACAGTGGGCCATGGCCATAGCTACTTATCAATAGCCAGACGGCCCCATCCCCATGCGAATTCCCCACCTGGCATCTTGTCCACGATCCCCATGGCCTTCACCATGTCGGCCGTCTGCTTGCGCCGCGCGGACGCCGCCACAAACCCTAGCAGCGCGTCTTCGTCCACCTGCCGCGCCACGCCAAACACCGCCGCCACCTGAAGCACCAGCCACGCGTCCAGCGACGAAGCTTCCTCCGCCTTGCTCAGCGGCCCCCCGCTCCTCACCCACCCGTCCAAAATCCCCCGCGCCTTCTCCTGTATCGAGGGCGCAATAACGGGGACGGAAACCCCCTCCGCCTTGGCCTGCTTGGCCAGAACCTGCCCTAGGGTTTCCACGAGGAGGGAAACGGCGCGCACGTGGGTGGGCTCGACGGGCTCGCGCCGCTTATCCTTGCCGGCCGCCGGCGCTTCGACGGCCTTGGGTTTGTAGGAGTCCAAGCAGGAGAGCACGAGGCGGCAGGGGTCGAGCGCGAGGGGGAGCGCGTGCGGAAGCTCCGTGCGCACGCGGCTAATGTCGCGCCGGTTCTGCATGACGTAGCGCTTCAGCCCCTCCGCGTCCATCCCCGCGCATAGCCCGCGCAGCTCCGCGCTCACGCGCACCGCCGCCTCCCCCGACTCGTCTCCGGATCGCGGGGTCTTGTCGGACTTGGCGTCCTTAGGGGGAGCGGTAGCGCGCTCGGCTGTAGCGGCGGCCGTAGCCGCTCCGTTACTGGCGGGCTCGCTAGCAGGAGCCTCGGTGCCAGCTTGCTTTACAGACGACTTGTCTTCGCTGGCCGCGCGCGTAGCACGGGCTGAGGCCGAAGCCTTGTCCTTTTCCTTGTCCCCTTCAGATCGAGCCTCTTCCTTAATCTTGCCCGCCTCCTTCTCCTTCTCCTCCTCCATTTTCTTCTCTTCCATTACCTTCTCCTTCTCCATCTCTTTCTCCTTCTCCTTCTTATCCTTCTCAGCCTTGTCGCTGCTCTCCTTCCTCTCGCTCTCGCGCCTCGCCTTGTCGCTCCCTTCCTTACCCTTCCCGCTCGCCGCCTTGTCCTTCTCACGGCTCTTCTCCTTCTCCTCCATCCATTTCTTCCTCTCTTCCGCAAGAGCAGCGAAAGCTGCATCTCGCTGCTCCTGCACTCGCTGCATCGACGCAGATTCGCGAGACGCGATCGCACTCTCTCGCTTATCGAGTTGCTTTGTAACGGTCCGCGTCTTCTCCTCTAGGGCTCGCTCTCTCTCGCTCACGTCCTGCTCCCGCTTTCGGAGCCTTTCCTCGCTCGCGGCGAAAAACTCGTCCAGCTCTTTCCACTGCGCGATGCAGCTCGCGAGCATCGCCGATTTCGCCTGCAGGTCCGCGAAAGTCCGGCGAACGTTTTCGTAACGAATGGCGTACCCTGAAATCTGAGGGTCGGGACCGTCGGTGTCGACATTTACCATCTCTTGATCCGCATCCTCCGCCGTTGTTCCCGGCACACTCGCGTTCTCCGCTCTTCCCGGCGATCCGTCCACATCCTCAGGTTCACCATCTAGGTCAAATTCATCGCCCTTATCCACGTCAGCCTTTCCGTCCACGTCAGCTCCCGGTTGCTCCTCCAAGTCAATTACACCATCCTTGACGTTTTCAGTCACTTTCTCGTCGGCATCAGACGCGCCGTTAGTTGTCATATCGGTTACTGATTCTTACTTTATCCTGAGGATGGAACGGGGGAGAGATCCGCAATATTAAAAGCACAACACAAGGAAAGGAACGGGGGACATACGAAAGAAGGCATTATTGATCGGATCTAAAAAAGGTAAGAGTGGAACTAAATTAAAAAGGCAGAACTGACAAAACAGAATACACGATAGATCTCGTTACGAGGAAGACCACATGGGAGTAAAGAAACATACAGAATTGTTGACGCGTCAGTTCAACGCGGATGATGCGGCGAACTTGAATGAGGCGAACAGGGAGCTTCGAGGTGAAAGCTTGGTTTATGAGAAGTCCGAGAAATAGGATGATGGAACATCCAAGGGTTTGGTGGTGGGGATGGCGCTTTAGGTCGACTGAAAAGGCAGGGTTACGGTACGGTGAAGTCGGTTGGGCAAGGACAGGGATACAGTAAATGGAGGGAGGGAGGGGAGAGGGGGAAAAGAAAGTCGACGCCGCTACAGCTGCAGATCCTTCATTGCAAAAGCCTCGCTGTCAGATACAGTCACGAGAAAACGAGCACTCACAATTAAAAGAGTGTAAGGACGCGTTGAAAGTGCAAATATCGCAGGATCGTCTGCATATATCGATCCCCACAATTGAGTGGGCAGATCGTTTGGCGAAACGTGGCGACCGCGACGTTGTAACGATCGCGGCTGAAAATTGACAGATTTCCCGCGAACAATGATCAGTGGCATTCTCACACTGAACAGAAATATTGGCCAGAAAGCGTACTGTAGCATGGTTACAACAAAGTAAATAGGGTAACCGATCCGCACATCGATCGCTACTGACGATCAATCGTCTACTTTCACCGCGTCCTAAACCACGTTGACCGGGAGCACTAAGGACGCGTTACAATTGCAACACCGGAGGAGGATCGGGATCACACACCGAAGTGTGAGCATCGATCGCCTCCGAGCCACATGTGTCACGATCGTCCTCAGGTTCCTTATTTGGCGGGGCTAGAGACGTTTCGGAAAGTTTTGAATACAATACGATTGATTTAAGTACGGTGACAGATCGATATTGGAAAATCTATCGCCTATGTGAATTTTCTCTAGTCTTCGTGACAGTCAACGAAATAGGGATACACGACTAAGCGAAATACTGTACACTCAGACACCGATCTCCGACAGGATCGGTGTTGTAATTGTGACGCGTCCTTATACAACTGGGAAATCAATCCGTACTGAACAAACAAGAGTGGCTCGACTGGCTCAACCTTAGCCTCGTTTTAGACATTCTCTGTCCATTCTTTAGTTTTCTACTTCGAGTGTCAATTTAGTTCATTAGGACGCGTCACATTTGACACACCGATCCTGTGGGGGATCGGTGTGCAATGGGTACAGTAACTTCGCCAGTTCGTGAAAAGATGTGTATCCCTTTTTCGCCTGACTTCGTTGAAAACTTCTGATCTCGTTGCCACGATCCCGCACATTCCGATTGCCGAAATCGGAGGGCTCCAATTGCCACATCGATCGTGCAATTGGAAGTGCGGGAAACGAAATCGCGCCAGTGGTTCTAGGCACGATCGACCACCGTCGCCTTCCGTCGGCCACATTTGACAAGGTAACTTGGCGACATCATACAATGTCGGTAGGCGAAATATGCGCTCCTCCCAACGTGACGCAGGTGCCACCCGAGACATCAGAACATCAAGAGTGAACATGCGCCTCGAAGTTACATCACAACAAATGTATACATGCGCCTCGGGAACACATTGCTATTGCATTTCTAGAAGTACAAATTGCCACGGATTGTACCAGCTGAAACGCACTCACCAGCCCAACGCCTTGCATTTCTCTCTCAACAACTTCTCACGATGACTACGCCTAACAATGGCTCTCCAGCTGGCGACCTTGTAAACAACGAGCCTGACACTCAGGCATCTACTACTGGCGTTCAAGGCGCCGACGGGCCTCCACGTCCCGTCATCTACCTGATCCAGACACCACCAACGGGTGCGCCTAGTGCCCCCGCGACTGGAACTGGAAATCGTGCAGCTCCGAGACGTACTCCTGCCAGGGGGCGTCCAGCCCGTGGAACTCGTGAGGTGATAGACCTCGACACGTTCATAGCTGGACTACCTGCCACAGACGACGACCTAGGCGAGCTTGACGACATTGCCCCGCCGAATGTCACTGCACCTTCTCCCGCAGCTGCATTTACCACGGACACAACAACCGGCAACGACCAGGGAAGGGCAGGCGTCACTGCCGTAGAGAACAATACCAATACCACACCTTCGAACGCACGTCGGCCCGACGCTGCGTCTAGTCGCGGACGTTCTTCCACACCGTCTGCGACTGGATGGCAGGATGACGAGGAAATGCTGCTAGCGGAAGTCAGGGTCGCCCTGGATGCTGCCATACGTGGAATGCGTGGCATACAGGGTGCTAATTACAACGTCGCCATTCTGGAAGAGCTGCAGCGCCGCCGTCCTGACTTCCGTTTCGGGTTGGCCGCAGTCAAAAGCAAGTTGCAGCGGATGGAACTGGGAAATGTTCTAAACGATAGAGCTCTGTCTTAGCTTTCCAACGAGCCGTCACACACGTCGATCGCCTAAGTATCCGCCGAGATTTAGGCGTTCACGTGTTGGGTGGTGCTCTTGAATGCAAGTATAGAAGCTCTCTGGAATTTGTGTTCGAATGTACCTTATACAAAGAACTCTGACTTTCAGTATGAAGCATGCAATACAAAGCAAACAGATTTATAGCATGCAATCAAACATCGAGTCGCACAAGTAACATCGGACCGCTACACTCTCGAAAGTTCGAGTAACATTTCGAAGGGGTGAAATTCGACTCTCGAATTTCACCGAATCGAATTCTTCCTGAGTCTCGATTCTTCTTGTGCTGCCATGTGGCACCGAAGTGCAGGTTCTTCCGAAGTCAATCCCAACTTATTGGAACCTGCAACACATTCATGAAACTTCAGACTTGCAGCTCACTCACCCTTGAGTTGCATTCGGTGGTTGGGGGCAAACCTACCCCCCCACGCAACCTCCAACATGGAAGAGCTGCAGGGCCGCCGTCCTGACTTCCGTTTCGGGTTGGCCGCAGTCAAAAGCAAGTTGCAGCGGATGGTTGACCGGTACCGGCACCTCCGTGACCAAATGCGCCGCTCCGGAAACTCACGAGTGACTGATTTGCCGAGGTGGTACGACATGCTGGACAGGGTCTTGCATGATCGCCCATCAGCCGCGCCCGGAGTGACCATTGGCAGTGGGGGCACCGGTACTACTGTGAACCGCCCAAATAATCCGTGGGGGGAAGGAACGAGCCGCGGCCCCGTCAGCGCATCAGGTAAGTCTATGGCTGTACGTCATGTGTGCATTGTGCGTCAGAAATACATGCTGTATCTTTCCGTAATACTTGTGTGCCCAAAGCAGGTGAGTTTGGCACGGGTGGCGGAACAAATGATGGTAGTGCGCGTGGTTCAAGCTCCGTGGGACTGCCTTCTGTTTCGCGCATTCCTCCCTCGCCTAGTGAAGGTGCGTTCATAGTTTTCCAAACTAAGTATGCAAGTTCAGCAGGGCAGTGACCCTTGTAGTTTATTATCATCCAATTGCATAGCACACCAACACGAATACACCGATGGTCATCCTACTCCCCGCATTCTATCCCTTCCCCCAACCATCTCCCAGGACCGTCCGAGCCATCTCCACTGTCAGCCACGGTCTTTGCTCCCATGCAGTCACCCACGAGGGCGGGTTCTCCGACTCGCGTCCGCGGCCTGAGGGGGCCTCTGTCTCCGCCTGCAACATCAAACACGAATGGAGCGTCAGACATCGGAGGGTCGTTTGAGACATCACTTTCAGCTGAAGTTGTTCAAGGCATTGAGTCATCCCTGGAGCGCGTTATTGACCGCGGAATGGACCGCCTTCTTCGCCATACCCGAGAGCTGGCGCGTTCTCTTCGGGATGTGCAAGCCTCCAAGAGGCGTAAAGATAGTTCCGAAGGCGATCGCGACGACGCTCGGGAGAAAAGCCCCGACCCGTAGAGGGGTAATGAGGCGCCATTGCAGCCGGTCCACGAAGCCACCACCGGTCGCGCACGCGCGTCGGGCCGAGGCGGGGACGATCGCCACGTACCAGCTCCACATTGTGCAATGTAACAGCCGTCTGCACCGCCTGACAAACCCGCGCCAAGTTGCTCTCCATGCGCTCGTCTAGAAGGCGCCATTTTGATTTAAGGCGCCCGTTCACTTGTTCAACGATCATCCTAGCCCTCGATTGTTGTTTATTCCAGGTCCGGTCGACATAGTTGACGTTCTCTCCTGTTGGGGCCCTGTAGGGTGTGTAGGTGTAACATAGTATACCAAAACCCGCGAATAACCCGCTCGACACATCCCTCTCCTCGTCCCATGCTTTCGTCATTCTTCCTTCCTTCGAATCGTCCCTTCCGTCGCCACCTCCGTTCCGTTGCCACCTCCCCCTCCCTCGTCGTTCGATCCATCACCGCATTGATTTCTCTCTTCTCCCTCCTCATTTAGTGAGACCCGCGCATTCATAACACAGTATACCAAAACGACTTCATTAGTTCCACCCTGCTAACCTTTATCGATCCCATCGCTCACTAGCTCTCATTGCTCGTCCACCGTCGCGCAGTCACCCTTGTTGCAATAGTCTCTACTGCTCTACTGTATTACTAGCGGGCCGCGATCCCGGGCGATTCTAATTATTTCCCGTCGCTGGATCCTTCTCGCCTCTCCATACCTCCCGTCACTCGAGTGTGACCGCTCGACACATCCCTCTCCTCGTCCCATGCTTTCGTCATTCGATTCCTTCCTTCGAATCGTCCCTTCCGTCGCCACCTCCGTTCCGTTGCCACCTCCCCCTCCCTCGTCATTCGATCCATCACCGCATTGATTTCTCTCTTCTCCCTCCTCATTTACTTCCCTCCTTCCCCTCACATACCACCCTCCCACTTACCTTCGTCCTGCCAGTCGCCCTACTTTCCCTTGCCGGTCGCCCTACTTTCCCTTGCCGATCGCCCTACTTTCCCTTGCCGGTCGCCCTACTTTCCCTTGCCGGTCGCCCTACTCTCCCTCCCATTGCCTTCCGCGTCGCCCACGCGTCCCCTGCCGTCACCCTCGCTTCTCATCCCGTCGCCTTCCCTCGCTTCGCTTCCCCGTCGCCCTCGCTTCTCATCCCATCGCCTTGCCCATCCTCCTAGCTTCCCCTGCCAGTCGCCGCTCCCCGCCGCCCTCGCTCCCCCCTGCTGTTTCCCTCGCTCCCCCCTGCTGTTTCCCTCGCTCCCCCCTGCTGTTTCCCTCGCTTCCCCCTGCTGTTTCCCTCGCTCCCCCCTGCTGTTTCCCTCGCTTCCCCCTGCTGTTTCCCTCGCTCCCCCCTGCTGTTTCCCTCGCTTCCCCCTGCTGTTTCCCTCGCTCCCCCCTGCTGTTTCCCTCGCTCCCCCCTGCTGTTTCCCTCGCTCCCCCCTGCTGTTTCCCTCGCTCCCCCCTGCTGTTTCCCTCGCTTCCCCCTGCTGTTTCCCTCGCTCCCCCCTGCTGTTTCCCTCGCTTCCCCCTGCTGTTTCCCTCGCTCCCCCCTGCTGTTTCCCTCGCTTCCCCCTGCTGTTTCCCTCGCTCCCCCCTGCTGTTTCCCTCGCTTCCCCCTGCTGTTTCCCTCGCTCCCCCCTGCTGTTTCCCTCGCTCCCCCCTGCTGTTTCCCTCGCTTCCCCCTGCTGTTTCCCTCGCTTCCCCCTGCTGTTTCCCTCGCTCCCCCCTGCTGTTTCCCTCGCTTCCCCCTGCTGTTTCCCTCGCTCCCCCCTGCTGTTTCCCTCGCTTCCCCCTGCTGTTTCCCTCGCTCCCCCCTGCTGTTTCCCTCGCTCCCCCCTGCTGTTTCCCTCGCTTCCCCCTGCTGTTTCCCTCGCTTCCCCCTGCTGTTTCCCTCGCTTCCCCCTGCTGTTTCCCTCGCTTCCCCCTGCTGTTTCCCTCGCTCCCCCCTGCTGTTTCCCTCGCTTCCCCCTGCTGTTTCCCTCGCTCCCCCCTGCTGTTTCCCTCGCTTCCCCCTGCTGTTTCCCTCGCTCCCCCCTGCTGTTTCCCTCGCTTCCCCCTGCTGTTTCCCTCGCTCCCCCCTGCTGTTTCCCTCGCTTCCCCCTGCTGTTTCCCTCGCTTCCCCCTGCTGTTTCCCTCGCTTCCCCCTGCTGTTTCCCTCGCTCCCCCCTGCTGTTTCCCTCGCTTCCCCCTGCTGTTTCCCTCGCTTCCCCCTGCTGTTTCCCTCGCTTCCCCCTGCTGTTTCCCTCGCTTCCCCCTGCTGTTTCCCTCGCTCCCCCCTGCTGTTTCCCTCGCTTCCCCCTGCTGTTTCCCTCGCTTCCCCCTGCTGTTTCCCTCGCTTCCCCCTGCTGTTTCCCTCGCTCCCCCCTGCTGTTTCCCTCGCTTCCCCCTGCTGTTTCCCTCGCTCCCCCCTGCTGTTTCCCTCGCTTCCCCCTGCTGTTTCCCTCGCTCCCCCCTGCTGTTTCCCTCGCTTCCCCCTGCTGTTTCCCTCGCTCCCCCCTGCTGTTTCCCTCGCTTCCCCCTGCTGTTTCCCTCGCTTCCCCCTGCTGTTTCCCTCGCTTCCCCCTGCTGTTTCCATCGCTCCCCCCTGCTGTTTCCCTCGCTTCCCCCTGCTGTTTCCCTCGCTCCCCCCTGCTGTTTCCCTCGCTCCCCCCTGCTGTTTCCCTCGCTTCCCCCTGCTGTTTCCCTCGCTTCCCCCTGCTGTTTCCCTCGCTTCCCCCTGCTGTTTCCCTCGCTTCCCCCTGCTGTTTCCCTCGCTCCCCCCTGCTGTTTCCCTCGCTTCCCCCTGCTGTTTCCCTCGCTCCCCCCTGCTGTTTCCCTCGCTTCCCCCTGCTGTTTCCCTCGCTTCCCCCTGCTGTTTCCTTCGCTCCCCCCTGCTGTTTCCCTCGCTTCCCCCTGCTGTTTCCCTCGCTTCCCCCTGCTGTTTCCCTCGCTTCCCCCTGCTGTTTCCCTCGCTTCCCCCTGCTGTTTCCCTCGCTTCCCCCTGCTGTTTCCCTCGCTCCCCCCTGCTGTTTCCCTCGCTCCCCCCTGCTGTTTCCCTCGCTCCCCCCTGCTGTTTCCCTCGCTCCCCCCTGCTGTTTCCCTCGCTTCCCCCTGCTGTTTCCCTCGCTCCCCCCTGCTGTTTCCCTCGCTCCCCCCTGCTGTTTCCCTCGCTTCCCCCTGCTGTTTCCCTCGCTTCCCCCTGCTGTTTCCCTCGCTTCCCCCTGCTGTTTCCCTCGCTTCCCCCTGCTGTTTCCCTCGCTTCCCCCTGCTGTTTCCCTCGCTTCCCCCTGCTGTTTCCCTCGCTTCCCCCTGCTGTTTCCCTCGCTTCCCCCTGCTGTTTCCCTCGCTCCCCCCTGCTGTTTCCCTCGCTCCCCCCTGCTGTTTCCCTCGCTCCCCCCTGCTGTTTCCCTCGCTTCCCCCTGCTGTTTCCCTCGCTCCCCCCTGCTGTTTCCCTCGCTCCCCCCTGCTGTTTCCCTCGCTTCCCCCTGCTGTTTCCCTCGCTCCCCCCTGCTGTTTCCCTCGCTCCCCCCTGCTGTTTCCCTCGCTTCCCCCTGCTGTTTCCCTCGCTTCCCCCTGCTGTTTCCCTCGCTCCCCCCTGCTGTTTCCCTCGCTCCCCCCTGCTGTTTCCCTCGCTTCCCCCTGCTGTTTCCCTCGCTCCCCCCTGCTGTTTCCCTCGCTTCCCCCTGCTGTTTCCCTCGCTTCCCCCTGTTGTTTCCCTCGCTTCCCCCTGCTGTTTCCCTCGCTCCCCCCTGCTGTTTCCCTCGCTTCCCCCTGCTGTTTCCCTCGCTTCCCCCTGCTGTTTCCCTCGCTCCCCCCTGCTGTTTCCCTCGATTCCCCCTGCTGTTTCCCTCGCTTCCCCCTGCTGTTTCCCTCGCTTCCCCCTGCTGTTTCCCTCGCTCCCCCCTGCTGTTTCCCTCGCTTCCCCCTGCTGTTTCCCTCGCTTCCCCCTGTTGTTTCCCTCGCTTCCCCCTGCTGTTTCCCTCGCTCCCCCCTGCTGTTTCCCTCGCTTCCCCCTGCTGTTTCCCTCGCTTCCCCCTGCTGTTTCCCTCGCTTCCCCCTGCTGTTTCCCTCGCTCCCCCCTGCTGTTTCCCTCGATTCCCCCTGCTGTTTCCCTCGCTCCCCCCTGCTGTTTCCCTCGCTTCCCCCTGCTGTTTCCCTCGCTCCCCCCTGCTGTTTCCCTCGCTCCCCCCTGCTGTTTCCCTCGCTTCCCCCTGCTGTTTCCCTCGCTTCCCCCTGCTGTTTCCCTCGCTTCCCCCTGCTGTTTCCCTCGCTTCCCCCTGCTGTTTCCCTCGCTCCCCCCTGCTGTTTCCCTCGCTTCCCCCTGCTGTTTCCCTCGCTCCCCCCTGCTGTTTCCCTCGCTTCCCCCTGCTGTTTCCCTCGCTTCCCCCTGCTGTTTCCCTCGCTTCCCCCTGCTGTTTCCCTCGCTCCCCCCTGCTGTTTCCCTCGCTTCCCCCTGCTGTTTCCCTCGCTTCCCCCTGCTGTTTCCCTCGCTTCCCCCTGCTGTTTCCCTCGCTCCCCCCTGCTGTTTCCCTCGCTTCCCCCTGCTGTTTCCCTCGCTCCCCCCTGCTGTTTCCCTCGCTTCCCCCTGCTGTTTCCCTCGCTCCCCCCTGCTGTTTCCCTCGCTTCCCCCTGCTGTTTCCCTCGCTCCCCCCTGCTGTTTCCCTCGCTCCCCCCTGCTGTTTCCCTCGCTCCCCCCTGCTGTTTCCCTCGCTTCCCCCTGCTGTTTCCCTCGCTTCCCCCTGCTGTTTCCCTCGCTTCCCCCTGCTGTTTCCCTCGCTTCCCCCTGCTGTTTCCCTCGCTTCCCCCTGCTGTTTCCCTCGCTCCCCCCTGCTGTTTCCCTCGCTCCCCCCTGCTGTTTCCCTCGCTCCCCCCTGCTGTTTCCCTCGCTTCCCCCTGCTGTTTCCCTCGCTTCCCCCTGCTGTTTCCCTCGCTCCCCCCTGCTGTTTCCCTCGCTTCCCCCTGCTGTTTCCCTCGCTCCCCCCTGCTGTTTCCCTCTCTTCCCCCTGCTGTTTCCCTCGCTCCCCCCTGCTGTTTCCCTCGCTCCCCCCTGCTGTTTCCCTCGCTTCCCCCTGCTGTTTCCCTCGCTCCCCCCTGCTGTTTCCCTCGCTCCCCCCTGCTGTTTCCCTCGCTTCCCCCTGCTGTTTCCCTCGCTTCCCCCTGCTGTTTCCCTCGCTCCCCCCTGCTGTTTCCCTCGCTCCCCCCTGCTGTTTCCCTCGCTCCCCCCTGCTGTTTCCCTCGCTCCCCCCTGCTGTTTCCCTCGCTTCCCCCTGCTGTTTCCCTCGCTTCCCCCTGCTGTTTCCCTCGCTCCCCCCTGCTGTTTCCCTCGCTTCCCCCTGCTGTTTCCCTCGCTTCCCCCTGCTGTTTCCCTCGCTTCCCCCTGCTGTTTCCCTCGCTCCCCCTGCTGTTTCCCTCGCTTCCCCCTGCTGTTTCCCTCGCTTCCCCCTGCTGTTTCCCTCGCTCCCCCCTGCTGTTTCCCTCGCTTCCCCCTGCTGTTTCCCTCGCTCCCCCCTGCTGTTTCCCTCGCTTCCCCCTGCTGTTTCCCTCGCTCCCCCCTGCTGTTTCCCTCGCTCCCCCCTGCTGTTTCCCTCGCTCCCCCCTGCTGTTTCCCTCGCTTCCCCCTGCTGTTTCCCTCGCTTCCCCCTGCTGTTTCCCTCGCTTCCCCCTGCTGTTTCCCTCGCTTCCCCCTGCTGTTTCCCTCGCTTCCCCCTGCTGTTTCCCTCGCTCCCCCCTGCTGTTTCCCTCGCTCCCCCCTGCTGTTTCCCTCGCTCCCCCCTGCTGTTTCCCTCGCTCCCCCCTGCTGTTTCCCTCGCTTCCCCCTGCTGTTTCCCTCGCTCCCCCCTGCTGTTTCCCTCGCTCCCCCCTGCTGTTTCCCTCGCTCCCCCCTGCTGTTTCCCTCGCTTCCCCCTGCTGTTTCCCTCGCTTCCCCCTGCTGTTTCCCTCGCTTCCCCCTGCTGTTTCCCTCGCTTCCCCCTGCTGTTTCCCTCGCTTCCCCCTGCTGTTTCCCTCGCTTCCCCCTGCTGTTTCCCTCGCTCCCCCCTGCTGTTTCCCTCGCTCCCCCCTGCTGTTTCCCTCGCTTCCCCCTGCTGTTTCCCTCGCTCCCCCCTGCTGTTTCCCTCGCTCCCCCCTGCTGTTTCCCTCGCTTCCCCCTGCTGTTTCCCTCGCTCCCCCCTGCTGTTTCCCTCGCTCCCCCCTGCTGTTTCCCTCGCTTCCCCCTGCTGTTTCCCTCGCTCCCCCCTGCTGTTTCCCTCGCTCCCCCCTGCTGTTTCCCTCGCTCCCCCCTGCTGTTTCCCTCGCTTCCCCCTGCTGTTTCCCTCGCTTCCCCCTGCTGTTTCCCTCGCTCCCCCCTGCTGTTTCCCTCGCTTCCCCCTGCTGTTTCCCTCGCTCCCCCCTGCTGGTTCCCTCGCTCCCCCCTGCTGTTTCCCTCGCTCCCCCCTGCTGTTTCCCTCGCTTCCCCCTGCTGTTTCCCTCGCTCCCCCCTGCTGTTTCCCTCGCTTCCCCCTGCTGTTTCCCTCGCTCCCCCCTGCTGTTTCCCTCGCTTCCCCCTGCTGTTTCCCTCGCTTCCCCCTGCTGTTTCCCTCGCTTCCCCCTGCTGTTTCCCTCGCTTCCCCCTGCTGTTTCCCTCGCTTCCCCCTGCTGTTTCCCTCGCTCCCCCCTGCTGTTTCCCTCGCTCCCCCCTGCTGTTTCCCTCGCTCCCCCCTGCTGTTTCCCTCGCTCCCCCCTGCTGTTTCCCTCGCTCCCCCCTGCTGTTTCCCTCGCTCCCCCCTGCTGTTTCCCTCGCTTCCCCCTGCTGTTTCCCTCGCTCCCCCCTGCTGTTTCCCTCGCTCCCCCCTGCTGTTTCCCTCGCTTCCCCCTGCTGTTTCCCTCGCTCCCCCCTGCTGTTTCCCTCGCTTCCCCCTGCTGTTTCCCTCGCTCCCCCCTGCTGTTTCCCTCGCTCCCCCCTGCTGTTTCCCTCGCTCCCCCCTGCTGTTTCCCTCGCTTCCCCCTGCTGTTTCCCTCGCTCCCCCCTGCTGTTTCCCTCGCTCCCCCCTGCTGTTTCCCTCGCTTCCCCCTGCTGTTTCCCTCGCTCCCCCCTGCTGTTTCCCTTGATCCCCCTGCTGTTTCCCTCGCTTCCCCCTGCTGTTTCCCTCGCTCCCCCCTGCTGTTTCCCTCGCTTCCCCCTGCTGTTTCCCTCGCTCCCCCCTGCTGTTTCCCTCGCTCCCCCCTGCTGTTTCCCTCGCTCCCCCCTGCTGTTTCCCTCGCTTCCCCCTGCTGTTTCCCTCGCCCCCCCCTGCTGTTTCCCTCGCTCCCCCCTGCTGTTTCCCTCGCTCCCCCCTGCTGTTTCCCTCGCTTCCCCCTGCTGTTTCCCTCGCTTCCCCCTGCTGTTTCCCTCGCTTCCCCCTGCTGTTTCCCTCGCTTCCCCCTGCTGTTTCCCTCGCTCCCCCCTGCTGTTTCCCTCGCTCCCCCCTGCTGTTTCCCTCGCTCCCCCTGCTGTTTCCCTCGCTTCCCCCTGCTGTTTCCCTCGCTTCCCCCTGCTGTTTCCCTCGCTCCCCCCTGCTGTTTCCCTCGCTCCCCCCTGCTGTTTCCCTCGCTCCCCCCTGCTGTTTCCCTCGCTCCCCCCTGCTGTTTCCCTCGCTCCCCCCTGCTGTTTCCCTCGCTCCCCCCTGCTGTTTCCCTCGCTCCCCCCTGCTGTTTCCCTCGCTTCCCCCTGCTGTTTCCCTCGCTCCCCCCTGCTGTTTCCCTCGCTCCCCCCTGCTGTTTCCCTCGCTCCCCCCTGCTGTTTCCCTCGCTCCCCCCTGCTGTTTCCCTCGCTCCCCCCTGCTGTTTCCCTCGCTCCCTGCTGTTTCCCTCGCTCCCCCCTGCTGTTTCCCTCGCTCCCCCCTGCTGTTTCCCTCGCTTCCCCCTGCTGTTTCCCTCGCTTCCCCCTGCTGTTTCCCTCGCTTCCCCCTGCTGTTTCCCTCGCTTCCCCCTGCTGTTTCCCTCGCTCCCCCCTGCTGTTTCCCTCGCTCCCCCCTGCTGTTTCCCTCGCTTCCCCCTGCTGTTTCCCTCGCTCCCCCCTGCTGTTTCCCTCGCTCCCCCCTGCTGTTTCCCTCGCTTCCCCCTGCTGTTTCCCTCGCTCCCCCCTGCTGTTTCCCTCGCTCCCCCTGCTGTTTCCCTCGCTTCCCCCTGCTGTTTCCCTCGCTCCCCCCTGCTGTTTCCCTCGCTCCCCCCTGCTGTTTCCCTCGCTCCCCCCTGCTGTTTCCCTCGCTTCCCCCTGCTGTTTCCCTCGCTTCCCCCTGCTGTTTCCCTCGCTCCCCCCTGCTGTTTCCCTCGCTTCCCCCTGCTGTTTCCCTCGCTCCCCCCTGCTGTTTCCCTCGCTTCCCCCTGCTGTTTCCCTCGCTCCCCCCTGCTGTTTCCCTCGCTTCCCCCTGCTGTTTCCCTCGCTCCCCCCTGCTGTTTCCCTCGCTCCCCCCTGCTGTTTCCCTCGCTCCCCCCTGCTGTTTCCCTCGCTTCCCCCTGCTGTTTCCCTCGCTTCCCCCTGCTGTTTCCCTCGCTTCCCCCTGCTGTTTCCCCCTGCTGTTTCCCTCGCTTCCCCCTGCTGTTTCCCTCGCTCCCCCCTGCTGTTTCCCTCGCTCCCCCCTGCTGTTTCCCTCGCTCCCCCCTGCTGTTTCCCTCGCTCCCCCCTGCTGTTTCCCTCGCTTCCCCCTGCTGTTTCCCTCGCTCCCCCCTGCTGTTTCCCTCGCTCCCCCCTGCTGTTTCCCTCGCTCCCCCCTGCTGTTTCCCTCGCTTCCCCCTGCTGTTTCCCTCGCTTCCCCCTGCTGTTTCCCTCGCTTCCCCCTGCTGTTTCCCTCGCTTCCCCCTGCTGTTTCCCTCGCTTCCCCCTGCTGTTTCCCTCGCTTCCCCCTGCTGTTTCCCTCGCTCCCCCCTGCTGTTTCCCTCGCTCCCCCCTGCTGTTTCCCTCGCTTCCCCCTGCTGTTTCCCTCGCTCCCCCCTGCTGTTTCCCTCGCTCCCCCCTGCTGTTTCCCTCGCTTCCCCCTGCTGTTTCCCTCGCTCCCCCCTGCTGTTTCCCTCGCTCCCCCCTGCTGTTTCCCTCGCTTCCCCCTGCTGTTTCCCTCGCTCCCCCCTGCTGTTTCCCTCGCTCCCCCCTGCTGTTTCCCTCGCTCCCCCCTGCTGTTTCCCTCGCTTCCCCCTGCTGTTTCCCTCGCTTCCCCCTGCTGTTTCCCTCGCTCCCCCCTGCTGTTTCCCTCGCTTCCCCCTGCTGTTTCCCTCGCTCCCCCCTGCTGGTTCCCTCGCTCCCCCCTGCTGTTTCCCTCGCTCCCCCCTGCTGTTTCCCTCGCTTCCCCCTGCTGTTTCCCTCGCTCCCCCCTGCTGTTTCCCTCGCTTCCCCCTGCTGTTTCCCTCGCTCCCCCCTGCTGTTTCCCTCGCTCCCCCCTGCTGTTTCCCTCGCTCCCCCCTGCTGTTTCCCTCGCTTCCCCCTGCTGTTTCCCTCGCCCCCCCCTGCTGTTTCCCTCGCTCCCCCCTGCTGTTTCCCTCGCTCCCCCCTGCTGTTTCCCTCGCTTCCCCCTGCTGTTTCCCTCGCTTCCCCCTGCTGTTTCCCTCGCTTCCCCCTGCTGTTTCCCTCGCTTCCCCCTGCTGTTTCCCTCGCTCCCCCCTGCTGTTTCCCTCGCTTCCCCCTGCTGTTTCCCTCGCTTCCCCCTGCTGTTTCCCTCGCTTCCCCCTGCTGTTTCCCTCGCTTCCCCCTGCTGTTTCCCTCGCTCCCCCCTGCTGTTTCCCTCGCTCCCCCCTGCTGTTTCCCTCGCTTCCCCCTGCTGTTTCCCTCGCTCCCCCCTGCTGTTTCCCTCGCTCCCCCCTGCTGTTTCCCTCGCTTCCCCCTGCTGTTTCCCTCGCTCCCCCCTGCTGTTTCCCTCGCTCCCCCCTGCTGTTTCCCTCGCTTCCCCCTGCTGTTTCCCTCGCTCCCCCCTGCTGTTTCCCTCGCTCCCCCCTGCTGTTTCCCTCGCTCCCCCCTGCTGTTTCCCTCGCTTCCCCCTGCTGTTTCCCTCGCTTCCCCCTGCTGTTTCCCTCGCTCCCCCCTGCTGTTTCCCTCGCTTCCCCCTGCTGTTTCCCTCGCTCCCCCCTGCTGTTTCCCTCGCTTCCCCCTGCTGTTTCCCTCGCTCCCCCCTGCTGTTTCCCTCGCTTCCCCCTGCTGTTTCCCTCGCTCCCCCCTGCTGTTTCCCTCGCTCCCCCCTGCTGTTTCCCTCGCTCCCCCCTGCTGTTTCCCTCGCTTCCCCCTGCTGTTTCCCTCGCTTCCCCCTGCTGTTTCCCTCGCTTCCCCCTGCTGTTTCCCTCGCTTCCCCCTGCTGTTTCCCTCGCTTCCCCCTGCTGTTTCCCTCGCTCCCCCCTGCTGTTTCCCTCGCTCCCCCCTGCTGTTTCCCTCGCTCCCCCCTGCTGTTTCCCTCGCTCCCCCCTGCTGTTTCCCTCGCTTCCCCCTGCTGTTTCCCTCGCTCCCCCCTGCTGTTTCCCTCGCTCCCCCCTGCTGTTTCCCTCGCTCCCCCCTGCTGTTTCCCTCGCTTCCCCCTGCTGTTTCCCTCGCTTCCCCCTGCTGTTTCCCTCGCTTCCCCCTGCTGTTTCCCTCGCTTCCCCCTGCTGTTTCCCTCGCTTCCCCCTGCTGTTTCCCTCGCTTCCCCCTGCTGTTTCCCTCGCTCCCCCCTGCTGTTTCCCTCGCTCCCCCCTGCTGTTTCCCTCGCTTCCCCCTGCTGTTTCCCTCGCTCCCCCCTGCTGTTTCCCTCGCTCCCCCCTGCTGTTTCCCTCGCTTCCCCCCTGCTGTTTCCCTCGCTCCCCCCTGCTGTTTCCCTCGCTCCCCCCTGCTGTTTCCCTCGCTTCCCCCTGCTGTTTCCCTCGCTCCCCCCTGCTGTTTCCCTCGCTCCCCCCTGCTGTTTCCCTCGCTCCCCCCTGCTGTTTCCCTCGCTTCCCCCTGCTGTTTCCCTCGCTTCCCCCTGCTGTTTCCCTCGCTCCCCCCTGCTGTTTCCCTCGCTTCCCCCTGCTGTTTCCCTCGCTCCCCCCTGCTGGTTCCCTCGCTCCCCCCTGCTGTTTCCCTCGCTCCCCCCTGCTGTTTCCCTCGCTTCCCCCTGCTGTTTCCCTCGCTCCCCCCTGCTGTTTCCCTCGCTTCCCCCTGCTGTTTCCCTCGCTCCCCCCTGCTGTTTCCCTCGCTTCCCCCTGCTGTTTCCCTCGCTTCCCCCTGCTGTTTCCCTCGCTTCCCCCTGCTGTTTCCCTCGCTTCCCCCTGCTGTTTCCCTCGCTTCCCCCTGCTGTTTCCCTCGCTCCCCCTGCTGTTTCCCTCGCTCCCCCCTGCTGTTTCCCTCGCTCCCCCCTGCTGTTTCCCTCGCTCCCCCCTGCTGTTTCCCTCGCTCCCCCCTGCTGTTTCCCTCGCTCCCCCCTGCTGTTTCCCTCGCTCCCCCTGCTGTTTCCCTCGCTTCCCCCCTGCTGTTTCCCTCGCTCCCCCCTGCTGTTTCCCTCGCTCCCCCCTGCTGTTTCCCTCGCTTCCCCCTGCTGTTTCCCTCGCTCCCCCCTGCTGTTTCCCTCGCTTCCCCCTGCTGTTTCCCTCGCTCCCCCCTGCTGTTTCCCTCGCTCCCCCCTGCTGTTTCCCTCGCTCCCCCCTGCTGTTTCCCTCGCTACCCCCTGCTGTTTCCCTCGCTCCCCCCTGCTGTTTCCCTCGCTCCCCCCTGCTGTTTCCCTCGCTTCCCCCTGCTGTTTCCCTCGCTCCCCCCTGCTGTTTCCCTTGATCCCCCCTGCTGTTTCCCTCGCTTCCCCCTGCTGTTTCCCTCGCTCCCCCCTGCTGTTTCCCTCGCTTCCCCCTGCTGTTTCCCTCGCTCCCCCCTGCTGTTTCCCTCGCTCCCCCCTGCTGTTTCCCTCGCTCCCCCCTGCTGTTTCCCTCGCTTCCCCCTGCTGTTTCCCTCGCCCCCCCCTGCTGTTTCCCTCGCTCCCCCCTGCTGTTTCCCTCGCTCCCCCCTGCTGTTTCCCTCGCTTCCCCCTGCTGTTTCCCTCGCTTCCCCCTGCTGTTTCCCTCGCTTCCCCCTGCTGTTTCCCTCGCTTCCCCCTGCTGTTTCCCTCGCTCCCCCCTGCTGTTTCCCTCGCTCCCCCCTGCTGTTTCCCTCGCTCCCCCCTGCTGTTTCCCTCGCTTCCCCCTGCTGTTTCCCTCGCTTCCCCCTGCTGTTTCCCTCGCTCCCCCCTGCTGTTTCCCTCGCTCCCCCCTGCTGTTTCCCTCGCTCCCCCCTGCTGTTTCCCTCGCTTCCCCCTGCTGTTTCCCTCGCTCCCCCCTGCTGTTTCCCTTGATCCCCCCTGCTGTTTCCCTCGCTTCCCCCTGCTGTTTCCCTCGCTCCCCCCTGCTGTTTCCCTCGCTTCCCCCTGCTGTTTCCCTCGCTCCCCCCTGCTGTTTCCCTCGCTCCCCCCTGCTGTTTCCCTCGCTCCCCCCTGCTGTTTCCCTCGCTTCCCCCTGCTGTTTCCCTCGCCCCCCCCTGCTGTTTCCCTCGCTCCCCCCTGCTGTTTCCCTCGCTCCCCCCTGCTGTTTCCCTCGCTTCCCCCTGCTGTTTCCCTCGCTTCCCCCTGCTGTTTCCCTCGCTTCCCCCTGCTGTTTCCCTCGCTTCCCCCTGCTGTTTCCCTCGCTCCCCCCTGCTGTTTCCCTCGCTCCCCCCTGCTGTTTCCCTCGCTCCCCCCTGCTGTTTCCCTCGCTTCCCCCTGCTGTTTCCCTCGCTTCCCCCTGCTGTTTCCCTCGCTTCCCCCTGCTGTTTCCCTCGCTTCCCCCTGCTGTTTCCCTCGCTCCCCCCTGCTGTTTCCCTCGCTCCCCCCTGCTGTTTCCCTCGCTCCCCCCTGCTGTTTCCCTCGCTCCCCCCTGCTGTTTCCCTCGCTCCCCCCTGCTGTTTCCCTCGCTCCCCCCTGCTGTTTCCCTCGCTCCCCCCTGCTGTTTCCCTCGCTCCCCCCTGCTGTTTCCCTCGCTTCCCCCTGCTGTTTCCCTCGCTCCCCCCTGCTGTTTCCCTCGCTCCCCCCTGCTGTTTCCCTCGCTCCCCCCTGCTGTTTCCCTCGCTCCCCCCTGCTGTTTCCCTCGCTCCCCCCTGCTGTTTCCCTCGCTCCCTGCTGTTTCCCTCGCTCCCCCCTGCTGTTTCCCTCGCTCCCCCCTGCTGTTTCCCTCGCTTCCCCCTGCTGTTTCCCTCGCTTCCCCCTGCTGTTTCCCTCGCTTCCCCCTGCTGTTTCCCTCGCTTCCCCCTGCTGTTTCCCTCGCTCCCCCCTGCTGTTTCCCTCGCTCCCCCCTGCTGTTTCCCTCGCTTCCCCCTGCTGTTTCCCTCGCTCCCCCCTGCTGTTTCCCTCGCTCCCCCCTGCTGTTTCCCTCGCTTCCCCCTGCTGTTTCCCTCGCTCCCCCCTGCTGTTTCCCTCGCTCCCCCCTGCTGTTTCCCTCGCTTCCCCCTGCTGTTTCCCTCGCTCCCCCCTGCTGTTTCCCTCGCTCCCCCCTGCTGTTTCCCTCGCTCCCCCCTGCTGTTTCCCTCGCTTCCCCCTGCTGTTTCCCTCGCTTCCCCCTGCTGTTTCCCTCGCTCCCCCCTGCTGTTTCCCTCGCTTCCCCCTGCTGTTTCCCTCGCTCCCCCCTGCTGTTTCCCTCGCTTCCCCCTGCTGTTTCCCTCGCTCCCCCCTGCTGTTTCCCTCGCTTCCCCCTGCTGTTTCCCTCGCTCCCCCCTGCTGTTTCCCTCGCTCCCCCCTGCTGTTTCCCTCGCTCCCCCTGCTGTTTCCCTCGCTTCCCCCTGCTGTTTCCCTCGCTTCCCCCTGCTGTTTCCCTCGCTTCCCCCTGCTGTTTCCCTCGCTTCCCCCTGCTGTTTCCCTCGCTTCCCCCTGCTGTTTCCCTCGCTCCCCCCTGCTGTTTCCCTCGCTCCCCCCTGCTGTTTCCCTCGCTCCCCCCTGCTGTTTCCCTCGCTTCCCCCTGCTGTTTCCCTCGCTCCCCCCTGCTGTTTCCCTCGCTCCCCCCTGCTGTTTCCCTCGCTCCCCCCTGCTGTTTCCCTCGCTTCCCCCTGCTGTTTCCCTCGCTTCCCCCTGCTGTTTCCCTCGCTTCCCCCTGCTGTTTCCCTCGCTTCCCCCTGCTGTTTCCCTCGCTTCCCCCTGCTGTTTCCCTCGCTTCCCCCTGCTGTTTCCCTCGCTCCCCCCTGCTGTTTCCCTCGCTCCCCCCTGCTGTTTCCCTCGCTTCCCCCTGCTGTTTCCCTCGCTCCCCCCTGCTGTTTCCCTCGCTCCCCCCTGCTGTTTCCCTCGCTTCCCCCTGCTGTTTCCCTCGCTCCCCCCTGCTGTTTCCCTCGCTCCCCCCTGCTGTTTCCCTCGCTTCCCCCTGCTGTTTCCCTCGCTCCCCCCTGCTGTTTCCCTCGCTCCCCCCTGCTGTTTCCCTCGCTCCCCCCTGCTGTTTCCCTCGCTTCCCCCTGCTGTTTCCCTCGCTTCCCCCTGCTGTTTCCCTCGCTCCCCCCTGCTGTTTCCCTCGCTTCCCCCTGCTGTTTCCCTCGCTCCCCCCTGCTGGTTCCCTCGCTCCCCCCTGCTGTTTCCCTCGCTCCCCCCTGCTGTTTCCCTCGCTTCCCCCTGCTGTTTCCCTCGCTCCCCCCTGCTGTTTCCCTCGCTTCCCCCTGCTGTTTCCCTCGCTCCCCCCTGCTGTTTCCCTCGCTTCCCCCTGCTGTTTCCCTCGCTTCCCCCTGCTGTTTCCCTCGCTTCCCCCTGCTGTTTCCCTCGCTTCCCCCTGCTGTTTCCCTCGCTTCCCCCTGCTGTTTCCCTCGCTCCCCCCTGCTGTTTCCCTCGCTCCCCCCTGCTGTTTCCCTCGCTCCCCCCTGCTGTTTCCCTCGCTCCCCCCTGCTGTTTCCCTCGCTCCCCCCTGCTGTTTCCCTCGCTCCCCCCTGCTGTTTCCCTCGCTTCCCCCTGCTGTTTCCCTCGCTCCCCCCTGCTGTTTCCCTCGCTCCCCCCTGCTGTTTCCCTCGCTTCCCCCTGCTGTTTCCCTCGCTCCCCCCTGCTGTTTCCCTCGCTTCCCCCTGCTGTTTCCCTCGCTCCCCCCTGCTGTTTCCCTCGCTCCCCCCTGCTGTTTCCCTCGCTCCCCCCTGCTGTTTCCCTCGCTACCCCCTGCTGTTTCCCTCGCTCCCCCCTGCTGTTTCCCTCGCTCCCCCCTGCTGTTTCCCTCGCTTCCCCCTGCTGTTTCCCTCGCTCCCCCCTGCTGTTTCCCTTGATCCCCCCTGCTGTTTCCCTCGCTTCCCCCTGCTGTTTCCCTCGCTCCCCCCTGCTGTTTCCCTCGCTTCCCCCTGCTGTTTCCCTCGCTCCCCCCTGCTGTTTCCCTCGCTCCCCCCTGCTGTTTCCCTCGCTCCCCCCTGCTGTTTCCCTCGCTTCCCCCTGCTGTTTCCCTCGCCCCCCCCTGCTGTTTCCCTCGCTCCCCCCTGCTGTTTCCCTCGCTCCCCCCTGCTGTTTCCCTCGCTTCCCCCTGCTGTTTCCCTCGCTCCCCCCTGCTGTTTCCCTCGCTTCCCCCTGCTGTTTCCCTCGCTTCCCCCTGCTGTTTCCCTCGCTCCCCCCTGCTGTTTCCCTCGCTCCCCCCTGCTGTTTCCCTCGCTCCCCCCTGCTGTTTCCCTCGCTTCCCCCTGCTGTTTCCCTCGCTTCCCCCTGCTGTTTCCCTCGCTCCCCCCTGCTGTTTCCCTCGCTCCCCCCTGCTGTTTCCCTCGCTCCCCCCTGCTGTTTCCCTCGCTCCCCCCTGCTGTTTCCCTCGCTCCCCCCTGCTGTTTCCCTCGCTCCCCCCTGCTGTTTCCCTCGCTCCCCCCTGCTGTTTCCCTCGCTTCCCCCTGCTGTTTCCCTCGCTCCCCCCTGCTGTTTCCCTCGCTCCCCCCTGCTGTTTCCCTCGCTCCCCCCTGCTGTTTCCCTCGCTCCCCCCTGCTGTTTCCCTCGCTCCCCCCTGCTGTTTCCCTCGCTCCCTGCTGTTTCCCTCGCTCCCCCCTGCTGTTTCCCTCGCTCCCCCCTGCTGTTTCCCTCGCTTCCCCCTGCTGTTTCCCTCGCTTCCCCCTGCTGTTTCCCTCGCTTCCCCCTGCTGTTTCCCTCGCTTCCCCCTGCTGTTTCCCTCGCTCCCCCCTGCTGTTTCCCTCGCTTCCCCCTGCTGTTTCCCTCGCTCCCCCCTGCTGTTTCCCTCGCTCCCCCCTGCCGTTTCCCTCGCTCCCCCCTGCCGTTTCCCTCGCTCCCCCCTGCTGTTTCCCTCGCTCCCCCCTGCTGTTTCCCTCGCTCCCCCCTGCTGTTTCCCTCGCTCCCCCCTGCTGTTTCCCTCGCTCCCCCCTGCTGTTTCCCTCGCTCCCCCCTGCTGTTTCCCTCGCTCCCCCCTGCTGTTTCCCTCGCTCCCCCCTGCTGTTTCCCTCGCTCCCCCCTGCTGTTTCCCTCGCTTCCCCCTGCTGTTTCCCTCGCTCCCCCCTGCTGTTTCCCTCGCTTCCCCCTGCTGTTTCCCTCGCTCCCCCCTGCTGTTTCCCTCGCTCCCCCCTGCTGTTTCCCTCGCTCCCCCCTGCTGTTTCCCTCGCTTCCCCCTGCTGTTTCCCTCGCTCCCCCCTGCTGTTTCCCTCGCTTCCCCCTGCTGTTTCCCTCGCTCCCCCCTGCTGTTTCCCTCGCTCCCCCCTGCTGTTTCCCTCGCTCCCCCCTGCTGTTTCCCTCGCTCCCCCCTGCTGTTTCCCTCGCTCCCCCCTGCTGTTTCCCTCGCTTCCCCCTGCTGTTTCCCTCGCTCCCCCCTGCTGTTTCCCTCGCTCCCCCCTGCTGT